GGATCCCGCCTAGGACTCTGGATATAAAATCCAGAGAATTTGGTGCATGATGATTGGCTAGAAAAAACTCGCAAGGTAGCATGGAAAATCATTGGTTGCTTCAGCCGCAATCTTAGCCTTCTCAGCGGGGTTTTCAGCTAAGAAATACGATTTTAACTCTACTGCAATTTCCAAGGATACAGTATAAATGTGCAAGGTCGGAACAGCACACTAAAACTACATAGAATCGGCTCTGCGATCAGCGCTATAGTACTAAATGTACACATTGTGCACTCTCACAGTACATGTAATACGGCACTTAGGGAAGGACTGGACGACATCGGTGTCATTTCATGACGTTGTGGCGGCGAAGGTATTTGGTGACTCAGAGAAGACGTTCCGATAATGTGTGTCAGATGCAAATGACGAAGTGCAGGATCTCTGACGACGTGATGGCCGCCGGAACAAGTTGCTGACTCCTAGAGACTACTACCAACGCTGCTGAGCACATGGCCCGTGTTGCTGCCCGATCCACTGCTGGTAATATGGTACGCCTTCTTTATCGGTTCTACCCAGGTAGTGGCACCTTCCAGAGAAGCCCGTAGACTACCGCCCTATGCCGGGATTTTCGCGAAGCTATTGCCTCGACAGCAAAACTGGGGAAACAATCCAGCAGGATTGCAAGTCACTCACAGTTTGATATTGTTCAGTTGTTTTGTGGCGGATCGGGTACAAATGTTGATTCTATTTCGTCGGAGGACTGTTGTAGCAGATTCTCGGACGCTGAAAAAGAAAATACAATCCAGTCAGATTCGGAATGTTGACACGGCTCAGAGGATCTGCCAATAAATGCAGATTTTTATTTCTAGGAATTTCCAACAAAGCCTCAGCTACTAGTTACTGCACGAAATGTAGGAACGCTCTTACTTCGAGACTGCAAGACGTATATAGCGTTAACCCCTCCTGTATACTTCGAAAGCACGTTCCTACTTTGACCACTCGAACGCTCACATGCACCATGCTTGGATGCCACAACGCAAAGCTTCCAAATATGTTCGCTGCTTTTACTGGAGCTATTGCTCACTCAGCCGTTTGATCACAGAAAGGTTTTGATGTGGACCACACTCGCGTAATCTCGACTCGACAGGATTACGCGCGGCTTGTCTCTATCCCGAGCCGCAACCATTCCTTTCTCTTGCCGCCACTCATCACGTTGCACACGAACGGCGCCACCGAGAGGCGATACATTTGCTGGGCAAAAGGCAACAGCTCCGCTCGGAGCTTCCGAGTCTTTGCAGTGTGCAATGCTACGTAGAATACTGTAGCACTACGACATCCATACTGCCACTGCAGACGTGTATGTATGCAATCGCTGGCACGCGCCCGCTGTTCCCAGCGCCACTGTCGCCACCTCTTGCAGCGCCGCAACGCAGGCCTCAAATACACACACACCGACCGGACCGGCAGACGCCGCTGTAGTGAACCTATTTGGCACTGTGGTTCAGGAACATGTCTCGACGTTGCACCTGTCCCTCCAGCGATCGAATCCGGGCCGATACCGCGGACGTGTGGTCTCTGGTCTCCATTGCTGTCAAACAAGACAAAATCCACAGCGAATGATGGTGGCGATCCAGTGATCCATCAAGCAAATCCGCTCGCTATTCGCGCTTACAGGCTGCGCAGGAGCGGAACACTGCGCTCCCGACATGATGAAAGCGAATCGCCCTGGGTTGACCACCGAGTCATCTTTTGCCGACGCAACTCTAGCGAAAGCGTCAGAGCCGGGACAGCCCATCGACGAACTCGATTACGTAGAGGCAGCCTCAGTCCGCAATTTGCCAAGTTCAACGCAGGCAAACTCTCATGAGCCCCAGCAAGCGCAAAGAGCCCAGCACCGCCGCGGCGCCTACACGCAAGCTGCGTAAATCCTGCTCGCTGCCAACATGCAACAGTCCACCAGGCACCTGCATGCACTGCACGTGTGACGGGCGCTGCGGACGCCACGCCGCCGGACGATGTGGAGGCCGCAGAGAAGGATCAGGTCGGGGCTGCAAGCGCGAGGACTGCACGCGCGATGACCGCTGTCTGCACAGCAACCGAGCCACGTGCTGTCATTGCCGCAACCTCGTGTCCTCTGCGGGCCGCGCCGCCAAGCGTCCGCGTGTGACGATGCCGCTCGTCCAGACTCAGTCCCGCGTCCAGTTCATGTCCGCGCCACTGCCTCCTGTCTACCGCCAGCAGATGACCGCAGCCGTCACAACGGCTAGCAAACCGCAGCATTCGGCTACTAGCGACGAACTGCTTGAAGCGGAGCTACGCGCGTTCCTGCAGGACGCCAACCTCGGCGGAGACCTGTCGCTCTGCGAGTACAAGGAGTGGGCGTCTCGACGTCAATACTGCAATCTCGTGGTGCTGGTCTGTGGTACGCAATTCAATCTACACAAACATCCGATGCTACTGGAGAGCTACAAACTGCACGGAATGGCTCGTCAGGCACTGGAGATCAGTGCCAACAGCAACAATTTTGGAGGAGCGGTGCCCGTTCTAGAGCTGGCAGCCTTCCCCGGAGGCGCAGAGATGTTCGAGACGCTGGCGATCTACTGCTACACGGGCGAGATCTCCTTCTCATTGGCAAACCTCGCAGCCATGAACTGCGCCATCGAGTTTTTAGAGATGCGCGATGATATTCGCCACCGCGCCAAACGATTTCTCGACCAGCAAATCAGTCGGGGGGACGAAGGCTTGAGCGGTTTGTTGCAGGTGGTCAACGCAGCGCAGACACTGGCGCAAGCACAGCCAGAGCTCTTCCACTCGGCCAGCGAAAGGCTCATAGAAGCGTGCATGCATGCGCTAGTGGAGAGAGGAGATACACTCGACGTAGACTCCATGTTGCAGCTCTTTACGTTGCCCAGTGAGCTGTTCGTCGAGCTCACGCAGCGAGTGATTTCGTCCAAAGTTCCAGCGTCGCCTACTGCTCGCTCTGCCGCTGAGATCGCGAGTGAACTGTGTGTGCAAGCGAAGTTGGCGCAGCTCCATCGAGACGCGCAGCATAGCCTTAGCCCGAGCCATTGCAACCGAGTCATTGCACAGCAATGCGTCCAACTGTTACAGGGCGAATCTGTTGAAACCGTTGATGCCATCAAGGCGGAGAAGATGGAGACAACGTGCGAGGAGCCGCTGGAGCTGACCATGTTGTTCACAAGCGAGAAGTCGGACAAGATGCTGATCAAACTCATGGACGACGACCTGTCTGCTTACAAGGTGTCCTCCAGCAAGCAAGTCGACGCGTCCATCTGCTTAGCCAGTGATAGTTTCCGCTTTGACGCACACGCACTACCGGAGACCTTCGTAGTGTAGGCCAACAATCTACGTTCTGCATATTGAATTAATGTCGTAGTCACCACTGTCACGCCTCCTGTTAATGGCGCAGCAGTACATGTAGTCCTCTTGATCAATACACCACGTTGAAAAATGCCAATGTGATCATGCTGCTTTAGCTACGGAGCTCATAATGCGTAGCCCATAAACGCTCGCTTCAACCACCATGCCACGCTTACGACTAGCAAAGTGGTAGCAAGACACTCGTAAATGTCCAATCAGAAGCACGCTGCTAGGAGTTTTGACCTCTCATAGCGCAGCGTTTCTTTTTATCAAAGAAACGAAGAGCCCATTTCTCCATTTGCCACGCCAGACTCGAGTTGTGGATAACCCAAGAAGAGATGGCTGCTGCTGCTCCCGCCAAGACGCCAACAGCCAAGGCCACTCCAGCCGACGCGCCTTCCAGCACTTGGATTGGCTACGTGGCCATGGTGCTGCTTGCCATGCAGTTCGGTCTGCAGCCTATTCTGTACAAGGAGTTCGCTGGCGAGGTCAAGAACCGCTCCGTGCTGGTCATCGCTTGCGAGGTATGCAAGCTGGTTCTGTCGCTACTGACGCTGCTGTCCTCCGGTGCTTTGGGTCGCGTCGTCAAGACATGGAACCTTCACGACAGCCTCATGGCCTCGGGTCTACCCGCCTGCACCTACGCCATCCAGAATGTCCTCATCCAGATCGCGTACCAACACCTACCATCCATCGTGTTCAACCTCATCAACCAGACCAAACTGCTGTCTGCCGCACTGTTCCTCTACTTCCTCATGGGTACGCGCTTCTCACTGCAGCAGTGCTTCGCTATGATGCTGCTACTGAGCGCCGCAGTGCTGCTCTCACTCGCCAAGGACGGCGGTGTCGATGACGCAGCCGCCCCGGCCATCTCTGTCGAGCTCGGCCTGGTGCCTGTGCTACTTGCCTCACTGCTATCAGGTCTCGGATCGGCGCTCACACAGCGCTCCATGCAGCAGCACAAGCGTGACGCTGCCCTTGTGACTGTGGAGCTGTCGGTCTACGGCAGTCTATTCCTCATGATGCCGGCTATCTGGTCCACTATCGTCAAGACGCCCGTCTCGGAGTCGCCCGCTGCCAACGTCCTGGCCAACATCGACAAGGTCTTTGAGGGCTGCAACGTCTACACGCTCATCCCCGTGGTGAGCAACGCTCTAGGTGGACTACTCGTCGGCACGGTAACCAAGTACGTCGGCGGTGTGCTTAAGTCATTTGCGTTGATCTGTGGCATTGCCTTCACGGCCTTTGTGGAAAGCTACGTATACGGTGCTGTACTGCCCAACGAGGTATTCATCGCTGCTGGCCTCGTTGCCACGAGTATGGCCATCTACTCTAGCTTCCCGTACGTGAAGAAGGAGACGAAGATCAAGACCGAATAGACCAAGGTCGCCGCTAAGCAAAGATTTCGGAAGTGGGCTTGTGGTTAGTGCAGAGAAGAACATGAACCCCTATCGGTTGTATAACAGTGCAATTCAGTTTTTGTTTGCCTAGAGCACGTTCAGGGTGATTGAGTCTTTTATCTCTTCTGGGGTGTACACGTACCAGGGCTTATCCAAACACTTCGTCCAATGTACCCGTCGAGACGAGGATGACCCACATGATGCCGACGCAGATCGAGACGCTGGACGAGAAGATGCCGACGCGCACGAGTGACGAGTCTGAGAAGCGGCTCATTCGGCCGGTTACTTCTCCATACAGCGCCGCGAAGCCACCCATGGCGATGATGGAGGACACGCAGAAGGCGCCGAGGTAAGCGAACGACTTGGCCCAATCATTGAGAATCACCGCCGGCAACACACCCAGGATGCCACCCGTACCAGCCAAGCCGTGAGCCGTACCGTACGCGAAAGCTGTGAGCTTTTGCGTGCGCGGGTTCTTAATGTCTGCCTTGATGAGGCCGAAGCAGCAGGTCTTTTTGGTTGATTCGTGCGAGTCGGTGGACACTGCAGGACCGTGGTGGTCCAGTTCATGGGCGTGCAGTATCTTTTGCACCTCCGTGTCGCTGTCCGAAGCGTCCTCCTTCAATCGTTGTAGCTCTGCTTCAAGTTGCAACGGCGTCGTCTCTCCTGCCGGGTGGTGCTTAAGTTGCAGCTTACGGCGCAGTAGGAGGTAGTAGCGCAGACTCCAAAGGCCGAGCCCCATCATGAGGAAGCCCACCATAAAGTCGCAGTAGCTGCCGAACGTGTCCACATCCAGTCGCTGGTTGAGCGCCAGGAAGCACACGGTAACCAAAATGAGGCCGGTCGAGTGGCCGCAGCCCCAGCGCATGCCCAACTGGCACGAGCGCCACGACGATCCTGCACTTAGCACAATAAGCGCACTCAGGTGGTCAGGACCCGTTAGAACATGCACCAGTCCCAGTAGCAGGCCTGTGGCCACAATGCCAGGCAGAGACGCGCCCTCCAGCGCAGTTACAGTGTCAGCAGCCCCCATAGAATGAATGATCTCGAGTCTCGATCAGGGGGGCACTTCGGATCTGGCGGTACAATCATGACAAGCATGAAATAATGTGAAAGTAGATAAGATTAGCCAAAATTTTCTTATTTGTGATCATATAAGTGCTCTGAAGGTTTTGTATCTTATCTATGCTAATGGTAAACATGTCTTTAGAAAATGATATGAAGCACATACCTGTCTTCATAATAATATGAGGGATCAAAGGTTTCTAGTGAAGCAAACACTGATTGGTGGACTGGATGCATCACGACTTTGGCCAACTTCAACTTGCTGACGTACTTGTCGTCGCGGGAGATTCATCGGGATGCAAATTCTATGAATGCATCACGGGTCATCCCAACCTACAAGTCTAGTTATCACTAAACTCAATCCCCAAACACGCGGTTCAACACACCGGTAGCTTGCAGCACGATCCAAGCAGTTCCTACACCTATCGATAGCACCGACGAAGCTACAGCAACGTTGTATGCTGCATTCGAAGATCGTGCCCTGCCACTTCGCTGTGTCAATTCCCCATAGAGTGCAGCAAACGACCCCATCGACAAGATGGAACTCCCACAAAAGCATCCGAGATATAACAGAGTCCGTAAAGTGTCATTCTGCATCGAGAGGGTAGGCAACACTGCCAATAGACAACCTGGACCAGCAGCTCCATGCAAGATACCTGCTCCTATGCTGGCTGCCGACGACGCACTGAGATATAATCTCGCACTTGGGTCATTTGGCGACTGCAGTAGAACGTAGGACGTATCTTGACACTGTACTTGACTCCACCTCGACTTTGGTGATGAAGCTAAATGCGTGGGACTGGGAGGCACGTTAATCTCGTTATATTCCTGATGAGCATCACACAGCGTCCAGACTCCGAGAAACACGAGACAAAGACCGGTGAGGTATTTGCAAACGGCACTAAAGATGCTGTTGGGAGCCAAAGCGTGACCAATGATAAGTACGCAGAACAGCGCAACAGCCAGGATACCGATCGAGTGCCCGCACCCCCACTGCACCCCGAGAAAAAACGCCTGGCGCCATGTTTTCCCGTTGGAGAGAGCCACAAGCGCCCCAAGGTGGTCTGGCCCTACAGATAAACCAGAAAAGTTAGCGGAATAAACTAGGACCAGTAGATACGAAGCTATTGCACACACCAGAAAGCACGTGGACGATGCCGAGGGAGGTGGCAGTGAGTGCTACTCGCCATAGTGAGCTGTGCCCAAGGTTTGCATCATTTTCCACATCCATACGTCCCTCAGTTGTGAAAAAAAAGGTGTGGAAACGGAAAGATACACGACCTTTCAAAGCGACAATTCATTTGTTATTCACATTTACGAAGAGTAGCTAAATGCTTGGCACTCTTGTCTCGGTCTCGTACAACTTCCTCCTACGAGTTACACGGTTCTCGAGCGGTCTATTCTCCAAAGACGGCAGACATTTGGCCTGAAGCCTGCAGTCCAATCCACGCGACACCGACGATGAACGAGAAGAACGCAGAGAAAATACCAATTCGGAACTCCACCACCAACGAGTTGCCTCCAAGTCGACCAGTAATCTCACCGTAAAGCGCCGCAAAGACGCCCATGATAAAGATCGAGGCGACGCAGAAGGAGCCCAGATATGCCATAGACTTAACCCAGTCGTTCAACACGACAGCAGGCAATACACCCAATATGCCTCCGGGTCCGGCAAAACCATGGACGATTCCAACAAGTAGAGCCATGATCTGCATCATTCAAAAGACAGCGTCAGTTTGGTCCGCACCAGATTCCAGAAAGCTACCAAACACAAACCTTTTGAGTGGCAGGATTCTCAAAGCTCGCATTTTGGCAGCATTTCCAGTTGTTGGGGTGTAGCTTCGAGGGTTTAACTGTATCAGCTCCAGCAGCTTGGCTCGAGTCGCCGTCCTCTTTGACCAAGAGATGGAAGGACGACGACGGCGAGGCTGACGTCTCGCCCACATTTGCAGGAGACATCGAAATCTGCGGCGAAGCTTCTCCAACAGCAGGTGACGCAGCAGTCGACACTCTCCGTTGGGATAACGGCACAAGTTCTACCAGATTGGTCGGTGTGGCGCCCGTGCTGCTGTGACTGGCTCGATTGCTATCGACATGCCCACCCTCTCCGCTCACAAGCGACTGAACTCCCTCTTTCAGTTGCTTCTGGTATTTTTTCCTCACGTGCACGCCCGTCCAGACGCCCAGTGCGATCATGAAGAACCCCACGACGTAGTTGAGATATCCGCCCACAGCGTCCAAGTCCACTGTCTGCCCTGCAGCGAAGAAGATAAGCGCCATGATGATGAGGCCGATGGAATGGCCACAGCCCCATCGAATGCCCAACGTGAATGCTCGCCAGGAAGAGCCCGTGGTCATGGCAGCCAAGGCAGACAAATGATCAGGGCCTGCAGATAAGTTGAGACAGTCCAGGATCTTTTTAATCTTTGACAGTTAATATTAATCAATTGGTGATGGAGTCATTACCTGTGAGCACATGCACGACGCCAAGTAGTAGCCCCGTGGAGATGATTTTGCCCAGCGACGCCTCCGACAGGCTCGTGTGCTCTTCGCTCAGCCATCGCGTCGTCACCTCCATTGCTGCAATGGAGACCGTTAAAAGAACTGTTGAGTCATAGTGTCAAATTCATTTAGCCAATCAAATGGTGGCAGCGCATCACTAGTCAGCACGACCTGACTATTCAAGATACTCTGGCCAAGTGAGTGTAATGAATGGTCGTCGTGGTGAGTGTAAACCTCCAAAAGCACTGAAGGACCCATTGATAGAGTCACACGCAACGAGTAAGAGCGTTAACAAGTCATTTTTAAATAATTACCCTTTCACACTACATCAACCAAAGTTCGCTGGGCCATGCATTACATCGGCAAGTTTTCTTGACTGATCGCCTGAAATTGACATGTTCATGTCCAGCATTGCAGTCGTCGCCTACTTGTCTCGCCCCTCATCACCAATAAGCTTGCGGGGGTTAGAGCTGCTAACCGACCGCGTCAATTCTTCTTATAAAACAACGTTATTTGATATCAAAACTTGATCCCAGTCCATTGATCTTGTCCGCTCGAGCCTGGGCCATCAGACTAATGCCGATAACGATGCCGTCCATCTTTGCGTTAAGTTCGCCAAACCTTAGGCGACAGTGTATTCCAGCCAGTCGCCCCAACACTGGAGTTCGGTTCAGTGTCTTAACGATAGTTTTGGGACTTTTGCTTTCCACTCGCCGTCGTGAACCGCAATGCGTCATGTGAAGCGTTCAACCGTTCGTGAACGCTTCGAGCGAAAACGCTGCACTCCTCTTGTGAGCAGGTAAAGATTTTGATGTGCTTCCATGAACGCACGCTGGAGCTGGTGGGAATGTCCTCCATCTAGGCTGCATTTCTTGTGGGGATTCCTTGGTGTGTTTGCTTAAAAGGCAACGCACAACAAGTAGAGCCTGCCATTATCGAGGAAGGATCTGAATGAGACTGCTGGATCTTTCCAGCAGTCAAGGCTGCCTCCGAGGAAGTTCCTCGACATACATCAAGGGATTCCACCGCAGACGAGCGTTGGCCTTTGAGCTGCAATCAAATTATCCACGCGAGACTTTAAGATACGCTTTTGGTTGAAGCTATCGACCAATCAGATCGCCTCACAGACTTGCAACCATTTTTTTTTCTTTCTTTTTTTCATGCGATTCGCATTACGAGCACTAATGGTGATTCACTAACATCAGTCATGAGTTAATGCCCGTAACCATGACCACTACGCGTTAACCTAATACTGCACAAGATCTTCAAGCGATTTTGAAGACCTTGTTCCTCGCACCTTCTCATGCGCCAATGTAGTACAGTCTGTACCCATCGCTCGCAGTCAAACCATAAATCAGCAGGCGGATCTTTTTGTACCGAGACCGCTCAAATCGAGTCATTCGCTCATTCACCGCTTGACGCACGCAACAAGTTTCTTCAGACCATGTCGACCGAGGGCTTTCCCATCGAAGGACTCAGGGGCAGTCCTCTCAGTACCAAGACGCTCACAGACATGGGCTCTCGCTGTCGCCGCATGCCTGAGAACGAGCTTTTATGCCGCCAGGTTTTGGAACGTCTCCAGTTCCTGCACGACTCCGTGGCACCTCTGGACGTCGAAGACCAGCCCAAAGTCAAGTACACGGGCGTCGTCGTGCGATTCGTTAAGTTGATGCGTCGTAAGCCACTGCTGCAGCGTCTGGCGAGCAGCGAGACGCTGGTTATGACCATCCACGAGCTGCAGCTCAAGCTCAGCGACGTGGGCCAAGCCATGGGCCTTGCAGACAAACCCGAAATGACCAAGTGGGAGGCGCAATGGGACGCAGACCGTGCTGAACAATACGGCAAACTAACCAAGTTGGTAACCGGTGCGTCGGAACGGATGCTCGTGAACGAGTTCAGGGGTGACAAGAAGGTGAAAGAGGCACTCATGAACCTCCACAGTGGCATCAATTGCAAGGGTCAGTCACCTGAGATGGTTGAACTTAAGGAAACGACATTCAATCGCGTGTCGACCTATCTAAATCAAACGGGGTTGCGGATGTTCGAGTGGTTTATCCCGATCGACGATGTCGAGTACGAAGATGAAGCCATTGGAGACCGAGGCACCTTCGGAGATGTGAGTCGAGGCACGTGGCTTCATGATGGCAAACGCACTGAAGTGGTGGTTAAACGGTTGTTCCCCGAGACGTCAAGTGACTCGGACGACGCGTTCCTTAGTCAATTGACCCTATGGGGCGGTCTCCCAGATAACGAGCATATTCTGAAGCTCTACGGTGGGTCACACGTTAGCAACCCACAGTTTTACGTGTGCGAGAACGCTCACTATGGCAATCTCGCAGACTTTTTGGATGACGGAGAACACAGTGTGCGCTTTTGGCGGCTGTTTAAGCAAGTCGCTCTGGGTCTCAAGTTCCTACACGATAGGAATACCGTTCATGGCGGCCTGAAGTGCAACAATATCCTGGTCGGAGCGAACTACACCGCTAAACTCGCTGACTTTGGCTTCAGTACGGTGCGCACATTGTCAGCGGGTTTGAGTGGAAATGCCGACAGGGCAAATGCCAGGTCGGTGCGCTGGAAACCGAAGGAAGTGCTGGAGGAGACTGGGATGGATGAGCCACGCTTCAAGTCCGATGTCTACTCTCTCGCAATGTGCATGATTGAGGCAAAAACCCACGAAGCTCCGTTTGGAATGGATGATGATGCGGAGGTCATGGACATGATCATGAGAGGAGAGAGGCACCCTTGTCCAGACGACATGTCGGAAACTAGTACAGAATGGGCTTTTATCAGCCGACTTTGCGACCCAGACATTGAGAAGCGACCGTCGCTCGACGAGGTGTTGAAGGAGATTAGCGTATTTGCTGATGCAGAAGAAAAGCAGCACCCATAGCACAGTTGGCTTGAAAAAAGTAGCAGTTTGGCAAAGTAGATCGTCTGCGACTTACGCTGGGAATACCTGTTTGCTTATTTTGTTACTGTATTTTTGTGCAATCCGGAAAAGGTTGTTCTGCGATTTAGCAACAGGAGAGCATACAGTAATTCACAATTGCTCGCAGAGGTTGAAAAAAATATCAATAGAATTACTATTGTATATTTCGTACTAGTACTGAATAACTTAATTCTGCACCACTACAAAACCACACATTGAATTTTTCAACTTATTGCTAGTGCAGCCAGGAAGGGCTGGGGTAGCTCAAATTCAACCACCATGATCTAAGTGGATCGCTGGAGGTTGGCTGCTGGAAATCCTGTGCTTGCTCGAAGCTGTAGACGTACAGTACGTCACGTACTGGCTGGAATCCTACGCTTGCTCGGATCTGCAGACGTACAGTAGATGAGGCAAATCCCCCGCGCTCGTTCATTGTGCCTCCATTTCTGGGGCCAGAAAAAAAATTAAGTACTACTGTAATCTTTTTTTCGCAATAAAAAAACACTGATTATTGGTGCTCTTACCAAACTATAAGCTGAAATTGTGTCAATTTTTGCTATACCATACACACAAAAGCAAGATTGAAGTTGCTGTTCGAACTGCTGGGAGTCAGAAAAAACAAATCTTGCACTAGCACAGCTCGCTACATGGTTAACTGTACTCTTCCAATAACGACATCGAGATAGTACACTTCGTTACAGCTTTTTGCTTTGGAGGCATCTTTGGGCAATCTGAATCCCTAATGTACCATTGATATCGACTGCGAAGAGAAATAGGAGAACCTCTAACTACAACAGCAACTATATCATCGTCTTTTAGACGATGTATGTACCTGCTGATTGTAGCAGGCGACCGTATCACCAACGAAGTATGATAGAAAATGTAAAAAAATAAACTTTTAAGACATTTTATTCCATTAAATGCAGATAACTTAAAAAATTTCCCTCGAAGGAGAACTTGATCAACTTCTGGGCGAGTGCGACTTCCTTTATAGTCGTGGTTTGCCACGCGTACGCATTGAATCCTTCGAGAGTTTGATCGTATTTTTCTTGATATCGAAGACGTCGTTCTTTATAAGCTTACTTGAATAGTACATGCACTTCGTCGACGTAGATGCGCGACTAGTTGAACGAGCAGAAAATGGAAATAATGTTCCTTGAAGGTCTCATAATGTTACCTGTAACTCAGTCGACATTTTGTGCCCTACAGGCATAAAGCATGCTTTGTCGGAATTACTTTTCGTTGTAACTACGAAATGGCTTAAACCGTCGAGATTATTTACTCATCTAATAGTTCTTCCTTTTCCAAGATCAAATACTGGATGTTTATACAAGTGCTGTGCGAATCCTACAAACTACGTAAACACCAACGCAAAAAGATTTTTTGGTCAACAAAAAAAACCCGGGGCCGGCGTCCAAGCAACAGCCGCAGTGGCGGCAGAAATGGTCCGTTGACACCACATTCTCCTCGCATCTTGGACAAGCATTCTTTTGTTGCGCTGATGCCGCCGCTGCTTGACTTGTTTCATCCGCCCTCGTCATGGACGTGCCACAATTCCCGCAGAAAGCGAACTCAATAGGCATACTGGCCTCACACGTCGAGCATTCCCTCGTCGCTGCTGTCCTTGCACTCTGCTCTTCCTCTCGATCTGCAAATCTTTTCAACTCATCGATAGCATCTGCCAACGAAATGCGCTTCGTCCAGTCTGGTTGAATCAACTTCTCAACTAGAGTCCACTCATCGTCTTTCATACCACCAGGACGAGGATACGGCTCCTGATCGAACAGCCTCGTCATGATCTCGTCGTCGTCCATTATACCGTACGGAGCCTCACCCAGAAATGCCTCAATAATACACATACCGAGTGAGTAAACGTCGGAAGCGAAGCGTGGGTTAAATTGTGGCTTTGGGTCCTCATCGGGAGGCATCAGACACTCGGGCGCCTTCCAGCGAATAGCTTCCGTCTGCGACTTGGCGCTCAACCCCACAGACTGACTGCGAACATACGAGAAGCCAAAGTCGCAGAGTTTGGCCTTGTAGTCGCTACCCACGAGCAGGTTGTTGCATTTGAGATCTCCATGCACAACCTTCTTGGTATGTAGATATCCTAAGCCAAGTGCTGCCTCGTAGAACAGCCGCCACATTTGACTCTTGTCTTCCTCAAAGAACTCACCGAAGCTGCCGTGAGTCGCGTCATCGCATACAAAGAAAGCGGGTGAGCTCACGTGGCATGCGCCGTAGAACTTGAGGACATGTGGATGATCCAGTTGTCTCCATACGTCCATCTCCTTGTAGAAGGACTCCTTGGCTGCATCGTTGTCCACCAGTAGACACTTGATCACTACTTTGGCTCCTTTGCCCCCAGTTGCCCCTTTAGACCACATACCGCGATGCACCGACCCGTACGAGCCGCAGTCGAACGACATGTTAGCGTTAAAGTCCACGTCGTCTCTGGGGATGAACCACTCGGGGATGGCTGGCAACTTCACGTTGGACATTCGAAGCAGCTTATTGAGTGTGCGTCGCATCAATTGTAAATGGTGCTCTGCTATGGCATCAGTCCTGTACTTGTCCGCTTTATAGTTCAGCTCAAATTTGAGCATGAAGAGGCCTTCCATGAAGCTGGTGCTGCCCTTCTCCGCTGTTAAGACCTGATTATTGTTCGCTAGAGCCTCAAACTCCTCCAATGTGTTTTGTCGGTCGATCATCCACTGCTGTCTCCAGTCCGCTAGGTTCTTTTCCATCGACAGCAGCAACCTGTCGATGTCTTCATGGAAACTGAGAATTGTCTCCTCCACCTTCCGATTGTTCGCTAAACGTTTAATGAAACTCAATTCGGAGCGTTTCAATAAAAAGTTGACAAAACTCGTGACGATGTCGCCGAAATGGCCCCGGCTATTATCGTTGGTATCTGAGAATTGCCGAAGGATTCCATGCAGGCGGTCGCAGACGTGAATGCACATGTGTTGGTTCTCGCGCATGTCGTGGCAGTGATCGGCTGCGGTGACCAATGCTTCTGATAAGAGGCAACTTAGTCCGGGAATGATGAAGTCGATAGATGGCGAAGGTGTTACCATAGCTGTGAAGGGGTAGCGCCGACGTATGTGCACGGTGGTGCTGGTCGGGCAGTGAACTCTGTTTGGTCAGTAGATGATATGGATACCGAAAAAATGGGTTCATGAAATGTAGAAAAAAAAGATAAATTCAGGTTTATTTTCGTTGAATGTCCAGTAAAAAAAGAAGTAAATACATATTTTGTCAATTGTCTTATGAGGGGCATCTCCTCTTTGTGATTCATTCCTCTTAGTAACAATATAACGTCGCTATCACGACCGAGAGGATCGTCGGAATAGAGACTTATTGGTCAGAACCGGTACTCTCACCAGAAGATTTCGTGCAAGCCAATCTAGATATGATGGAGCTCTGAGTCACTCGAGTGCAAGGAAATCCGCTGGCCAAGGCGGTATTGCTGGACATTCGATCCAAGTGCCAACTGTTCCAGGCGCTGGGAAAACTCTGTCTAGGAGTGGTCGATCGCCTCGAGGCTCTACACGACGAGGTAGCGCAATACCGGACAGACGACACGCTACGAGTAAAATACATTGATATAATCTTGATTCTCGTGAAGCGGATTGTACGACGAAAACCGCTGCTGACAAGACTGGCGACATTTCACTCTGCTGCACTAGTAATTCGGAGGCTGCATCAAGATCTTGACGATGTTGAAACGGTATTGCGGGCAGGTAGCGAGGGGCAGGAGTGGGGGGACCAATGGGAGAGCGATCGTACGGAACAGTTCTCTATTTTAGAGAATTTGGTCCAAAATGCGACGGATCGACACTTGGTGAGAGAGAGCAAAAGTCACAAAATGGTGCAACAAGTTCTGATGAAACTGCACAAGGAGCTGGGTGGATGTCCTTTTGAGACGCATTGTCAGCTGATGCGAGCGACATTTGATCGTGTCTGTGCATTTGCTCGACTGGACGATGTCCAGTTTCCAGATTGGTACATTTCTGCTGATGATTTGATGTTTGAGGACGGGTCGGGAGTGTCTGGTACGTTTGGAGAAGTGCGTCATGCTATGTGGTTTCATGCTGGAGAGCGTACGCGTGTGATGGTGAAGCAGCTCTTCCAGAACTCATCGGTGGAGACAGATCAAGATACATTTGAACAATGTCAACTTTGGGAGAAATTATCTGACAGTGACCATATTCTGAAGTTTCACGGTGGGTCACATGCTAGCAAACCGCAGTATTACGTATGTGAATATGCTCGCTACGGTAACTTACGGGACTATTTAACGGACGAGAAGCTCGAAACGGAGATGTGGCCTTTGTTTCTGCAAGCTGCTGAGGGACTAAAAACTCTCCATAGTCACGGAATTGTTCATGGAGCGTTGAAGTGTAGTAACATTCTGGTAGATGCAAGCCGTACTGCAAAAATTGCGGACTTTGGGTTTACTTCGGCTCGGATGTATGCTGTGGATCTGAATAGTGATGCTGCAGCTGCAAGTACCAGCGCAGTGCGTTGGAAACCCAAGGACTTGTTGGAGTATTCCGATAGCACAGGGCCGCAGTTTAAAGCCGACAGTTATTCTCTGGGTATGTGCATGATCGAAGCGCTAACTCATCAAGCACCGTTTGGTATGGTTGATGATACAGAGGTTGTTGAAATGATCCTGCGTGGTGAGAGTCACCCGCGTCCTGACGGCGTGTCGGACGCTGTGTGGGATTTAGTTTCACAGCTGAGTGAACCTGATACTGCAAAGCGACCAACACTAGATATGGCCATTGCATTGATACGAGAACTTATCGAAAGGCAGAGAAAAGAGAGGGTAGCTGAAGACATTGCGTCAACGGCAGGCATGATTGCCACCAGCTCGACTGAAGAGACTGGCGCTGTGCCCGACGAGGTAGTGAAGATGGAAGTGTTTGTGTCGTGGGAAACTGATGGGAGTACCGTTGTCACGACGGTGATCACGACGATGCGTAAGGAGGTCTCAGACAGCGGTGAAGTGATCACGGAGGTGACCTACACGGACGCGAAAGTGTGCATTGAGACTACCGAGACGACTGAGACGACTGAGACGACTGAGACGACCGTGGTGACTGAGACGACGACCGAGGAGACGACTGTGGAGGAAATCGAGACGACGGAATTGAGTGGTGAAATCGCCAGAGATATCACTGAGGAGGCTGCCGCCGCATTGGCTACTGACACGGCTGCGATGAGTAATCTGTACACCCGCTACGCACACGAGAGCATGACGTTCAGTGCCGATATCGACGCAGATGTGCAGGAGATCCACCGCGTGTGCTCCGGTGCAGCAGCCGATGAATCTGCTCTTGCGTCGCTGCTGCTGTCAAAGACTACGGAGCAACGTTATCTGATCTGGTGGCGCTATCGTTTGCTGTACAAGCAGAGCTTGACAGAGTTGGTGAAGAGCAAAAGTGACTACGGTACTCTGTTGGAGATGCTTGCAAGTCCTCTAGAACTCGTAGAAGCTGAGATTCTACACACCGCAACAAGAGGTCTGGGTGTGAAGAAGGAGTGGATCTACCCTGTTGTGATGACTCGCTCGAATTCCGACATTGCGCTGCTGAAGAAAACTTTTAAGGAGAAATACGACGTCGACCTAGTGGAGTTCCTGAGCAGCAATCTGAGCGGCAGTTTGAGGAAGGTGGTTCTGACTGCAATGCGCGGCGAGGTGATTGACTTCAACTCGTCTATTCATACGAGTGAACAGGCGACTATGGACGCGGACAGCCTGTACAAGGCTGGTGAAGGAAGGTGGGGCACGGACAAGAAAACGTTCATCGACATGTTGGTGTCGAGTCCTTTAGTGCACGTGCGCAACATCAACAAAGCATACATGGAAAAGTACAAGGTTGATCTCATTCATGTGATCAATACCAAGTTTCATGGCGATACGAAACGCGCGCTGCTGTTCCGTGTGCGCTCCATACTGGAGCCGATGGGTCTACTTGCGGAGTTGTTCGAGATGGCAGTGAAAAGATCTCGAAAGAACGCTTATAGTCTAAGCGCTTGTGCTGTGCAGTATTACCATCTCCTAGGCCGTATTTGCAGTGCGTACAGGCACCTGTATCGTCAGGATCTATGTACTCGTATCCGAAGTGAGGTCAGAAGCGAGTATTGCCAACTGCTGTTATCTGTGTTTGAGGCCGCTGGTGTATCTACACCTATATCTGCTTGGCCAGGCGCTCCGAGTATTGCTGCCAGCAGGGGTTCAGTGATGCCGATGATAAGGGGAACTGTACTGTGCTCAAGCTGTGCTGCAGCATCGGATCCGTTTGAGGAATGGTGTCGTTGCTGTGGCGATTCGATGCACAAACCCAAGGAGGAAGTTGAACGCAACCTACTCGCAAAGTATCTGCGCATGCCGAAGCGCAAGCCGAAGCGCAAGCCGAAGCGCAAGCCGACTGCTGGCACGACCGAGGAGGAGACGACGGAAGTGACGGAGGTGACGAAAGTGACCACCACCGAGACGGTCGAAGTGACCGAGGAAGTGGCGGCCACGACGGAGGAGACCACGGATGTGACGGAAGTGACGAAAGTGTGTCCCAGAAGTGAAGCTTGGCGGAAAGTTTACGAAGTAGCGATTGATCTCCAGGATCTCCACGACCAAAATATCATCCATGCTAATTTGAAGCCAAGTAATTTAATCGTTGGCCGTGATGGAAGAGGACACGTATCAGAACTCGAATCCTGCAAAATGGTAGAGGAGAGAACTAGTTACAGCACCAAATCTCGGAAAGAAGAGCTGCGATGGCAGGCACCCGAGTGCTTAAATGGTGGACATGCGTCATTGGCCTCTGATGTTTACTCCCTCGGGATGTGCATCATTTACGTTATCAGTGGCAAGCCTCCATGGGGCTCGTATATGTCGGACAGCGAGATCAAACATGAGGTTTGCAGCCAGCACAGAATCGCTCCTCGACCCCACGAGTTCTCTGATAACGAGTGGAAACTCGTGAATGGCATGTGTGAATACGATCCAAGAAAGAGAATTACGATTGGCGATGCGGTTCAACAACTCTCTAAGTTGATTCCAGCCGAGTTTGTCGATATTCCGGAGTGGAGGGTGCAAAGATGTCTGGTTGTTTATTCAGATGACGTGTTTTCGGAGTCAAATCTTGTATCCCGACATGCGGGTCGCTGGAAGGATGCTGTTGTTGCTGTTGAAACGATAAAACAAGCGATTGAAACGCCTAAACACAACTTTGGAAGAGTGGCGGACTTATGGTTTTCTCTGAAGCACCCAGCAATCCTCCAATTATTTCGAGCGTGTGATGATTGTGACGACCAGTTTTTTGTTTGTGAATACGCAGAGCTAGGTGATTTCAACACGTATCTCCGCAAATCTGGTGAAATTAGTGAAAAGGGTGCAATACGGAAACAAATCTGGACGATTCTACTGGATGTCGCGCTTGCTCTCAAGTATTTACACAGCATTGGAATTGTTCACGGCGATGTAAACTTTCAGAATATTCTTATTGGGCAGGACGGTCATGGAAAACTTTCCGGATTTATATCGAGTTTTAAACATTCGTTCGATGCGCCCGAAGAGGAACCAGCAACTGACAGCGAATACAACATTCCTTCTTGTGTGAATGGACATCATGTCGGATACGAGTCCGACGTGTATTGGCTGGGCCAGTGCATCGTTAGTGCGTTTTGGGAACAATCAATAGCGGACAACCGTGC